AACAGCTGCCCCCAAGAAACTCAGCTTGTATCAAACTTTTAAGAAGTAGGTCTTTGTTGTATTTCAGAAACAGGGAACATTTGCTGAGCACCTAGAATGGTCCAGGCACCATATGTAGTGTTTGATGTATTTTTAATAATTCTTTTCTTGTTACTGTAGAACAACAGTTCTGATCTGGGGATAATTCTGGCACCTAGGAGTTATGGCAATGTCCAGACACATTTTTGCTTATCACTAATGAGGGAGCATTAGAATCACCTCATGGGTGGAGACCAGGACATTGCTCAACACTCCTCTAATAAAAAATAAAATGTTACACCAACCCAAGGAAAACTCCTCCCGTTGAAGCCAAACCAGGTGTCTCTTCCAAGTCAGTGTTTCTTTATCCAGATTTACATATACATTATGTGTCTATACATACACATCCATATTTCATTATTTTTATGCTCAAATGGGGACAAATCCCACACAACACTGTGAATCTCTGCAGCAGAAGCCTTTTTCCCTTTTATTTTCCGAAAGCTAGAGCTTTCAAGCAAGCTCACTTCTGGCCCCACCCTTGATTCAACTTGCCTGGGAGAAAACCAAGCACCTCCAAATTGCATGGGAACATCAACCCGGATTGAGGACTGGAGGAAATCCCACTCCCTTGACATCAAAACCTCTAGACCCCGCAGGAATACCACTTCTCCCAAAATACCATCTGTCACCTTGCTCTCCTCCTTTGCTCACGAGCACTGAAGCATCCCAAACCATGCTCCATCAACCGTGTCATCTCTCTCCACAGACATTCTTCAAAGCACTTAGGTAACTCCCCCTGACATCACCAAACCCTCGCCTGCTCATGTTCACCTGTGCCTCTTGCCTGACCACTGACTCCACTCCTCTTTTGAAATGTTACAGTCTGTTGGATTCTGTGCCATCAACCCGTCAGAGCTGCTTGGCTTGGAGTGTAATTCCAGTAATACAGGATAAACATACTGGGCAGCAAGGTTAAGAGTGTAAAGGCTGAGTTTAGAGTAATCAGCACTGGGAAGGCAGAGACAAGAGTCTACATAACAAGTTCTAGGCCACCCAAGGCTGAGAATGTAGCTCAGTGTTATGAGTGCTTATCTAGTGCTCCCCAGACCACAGCACACAGGTCTAAACCAGTGAGGACAATGCTGTTGCATGTTCCTCCAGTATCAGAGAAGCAAAGGTGGCAACAAGGTAGAAGTTAGAAACCTCTACACTTAGCAGATGGAGACTGAAGTCTTAAAATGGTGCATTGGAATATATTAAAAAGGAGAGAAATTGTGACTCTACAGATAGAAAAAAAGTCCAAACAAGCAATTTGATAACTGTCTGGAAGAGATGAGATGGAGGAAACAATGTGGGTGGTAAAGCTGGGAAACGGTATGGTCTCACTAAAGAAATGCAGAGACCAAGAACCAACCCTTGGGCAAAGGCAGAGCAGCAAATCATGCCCCTGTGAAGCTGCAAGACAGGAAAGTGGTGCAAGCGGGAGAGACCAACACCTTAATCAAGGAGCAGCCCACGTTCTCCATCTGCACAGCTGAGCCAGACAACAGACAAGCAGCTCCAGGGCAGGGGGCAAGCCGCAAGTGTTTTAGCAGGGCAATGGGAAAGCGGAGACAGTAAATCCAGGGCCTTCAACTAGTTAAAACACACACACACACACACACACACACAGAATAGTGACCAGAGACCAGAAGTGGCCTAAGAGCAAACAACCCAGAGGCACAGAAAACTATGTGCTTACTAGCTCAGACTGCCCTTGCCATCTTTTGACTGGTTTTACCCACCACAAATTACTCTGCAATCAAGGAGACTGTTAGCCTCAAGAGGGCCACCAGGCCAGTCAAGTTAGACACACTCATTTTTCTCACCAGAGAGGTACACTTATTTGCCCAAGGCTGTCTGACACAAGCCCTTTAGAGCAGTGGCTCTCACTCTTCCTGATGCTGCGGCCCTTGTGGTAGCCCTCAACCATGAAATTATTTTCATTGCTACTTCGTAACTATAATTATGCTACTGTTACAAATCTTAATGTAGGTATCTGACTGATATGCAGGATATCTGATACGCAACACTGTGAAAGGGTCATTTGACACCCAAAGGTGGTTCTCAACTACTGCTCTAGACAAAAGGCAAACTACAAGCTCTTTAGTTGTTTGCTGCTTTTTAAAGAGCAGATGATGAAACCACAAGCAATTCCTTCTGAATAAAATGAACGTTTAGTAAATGAGTATTTACTAGTAAGGTATACAAATCCAACAAATGTTGAGTCCTAAATGAAATTCTATTCAACATCCAGTCAAGATGCACTTTGCATTATCAAAAAGAGGAGCCAGAGGGATGAAAGGCAAGACAAAGTTTTACTTTTAAATGATTGCAAGCAAACCAAATAACACGTAAGACATTCTTGAGTCCTAGCATCTAGTAATTTGGGTTAAGCTACACTAACAGCAACCTGAACAAGCTATTCACTGTCCTAAATTAGCCAGAACGGACTGCTGTAAGGCTGGCCGCTGCTTCACGGGAGTTACAAATGCTATTTACTACTTTTTCATAGAGAACGCCCCTGACCTTTAAGAAAGTAGAAGGGAACAATTTACTCCCTTTCTTTCTTCAAAGAACTGATTTTTTTTCTACTAGACTAATAAAAGATAAATCAACAGTGATACCTGCTGCTTGCACTAACACACAGGAAACATATACTCCTTAAAGACACACATAAAAAGAAGAAACTTCAGGTACTTACTAAGTTGTACAAAAAGCTAGATTTGATACTCTCAAAAAGTGAAGGGAGCTACAACAGCATAGAGAAATAATTTAATGCCTTCCAGAACAGAACTCAGCTCTGGGGAGATTTTCCTCTTCTGTGAGGGCATCTCCCATGCACCACAGAGCAGGTGCCTCCACCGCCTATCCGTTTATGCGGTAATTTTCATGGATTTCTGGCCGGATGTCACACACGAAGGCCAAGAGGTTATCAAGGACTTCATCCCGGTTCTGCTGGAAGTAGTTCTGGAGGACAGTCATCTTCTCCTGGGTCTCCTTCTCCACCTCACTGCTACAACTGCCGTGGGACCCCAGTGCCTGCAGCAGAGAAGATGGGATACAAGGGGACATCAGGAAGATTCTGTGCTTGAGCCACTTAACAAGCAACCTCCTGGCTTATGGGAAAACCCCAGTTCCTTAACAAGAAGGCAATATTTCGATGGCAGGCAAAATAATCTGTGAGCAAAGCTATGTGACAAACCAGGCACTCCAGCAGAGCTCACTGCTATCCACACAGTGTTCTAAGGTCTAGTCCACGGCCTTAGTAAAGACTGGAACCAACCTAAGGAGTCGACAACTACAGCACCATCCACAGTGTGCACACTGTGATCCCAGCTACATACAGAGGCAGGGATTCACACAGTTCAGTGTCCAGCGGAAGCAACAGTAGTGCTGCAAACAGCCAAGTGTACACACGAACCTCAACAACTGAAACTGATTACACTAGAAATGCAGTGTTTCATAACCTCACTGACAGTATCCCACAAGCAACTGTGCTGCACGTGGAAGGCTGCTCTGACACAGAGAATTTACCGTGCGGTGTAACACTTTATAGTACCAATCTGCCAAGAGGAACACTGCATACTTTAATGCTCTTTGTGATTGCCAAGTGCAAAGAAAATGGAAGCCTGTGTTACTTAACGCTAAGAAGCAGGCATAGGTGCCCATGGTAACTGGACCTTGGAGAGCACCGAATAGGGCTTGAAAATGAAGCACAGAAACGTAAAGACAGGAATGAGAAGAGCTCAGAGTAGTCACCCCAACACCTAGATGAGGGCAAACTCAATCTTTCACATGAGTTTTTAACTAAGTCAATGAACTGCAAACCACTGTTAACTGTATGGAACACCACCAGTTCCATTCCCTCCCCCTTCTACAAATTCGTCTGCATCCTTTGTTCCCAAGATCTCTCTGTGCATCATTTTATGCACCACAGTTGCCTACCACAGTGATAAACTCGGCTCTTTACTGAGGGGCAGGTTCCATTTTATTCACATTTAGACTGTCACAGCAGTCTTCAGAGCTGTAGGTTTGTAGGACTTAATGTAAGCTAAACTCTATGAAGGCAGGGTCAGAACCTACCAGTTTCTGTCTTTCCCTAAAAGATTGCTAAACAACAAAATAAATGAAGACTAAACTCTGATACAGTAAATAAAAGTAACCATCTCAAGAGACAAGCTGAGTATCAAACAAAGCACACAATAAACAGGGATGTGGACAGGTGGCAGAGAACGGTACAGCACGTAAAGGCCAAGGATGCAATCCCTGGTACCACCAAAACCCCTCAAAACCTATGCTGAGTATTTACAGATCTACATAAAAAATTAAGTCAATAATGAAAAGAAACAGAGGCCCACCGCAGCTTCCTTGGCCTTGAACTCCTTCTCCCTCTGTAGGCGATACTGTTCAATCTCAGCCTGGGCTTCTTCTTTGGCCTGCTTCAGCCTCCGGTTCTTTCCTGTTTTTAAAGAGAAAGACATCGGGAAGTATTTCAAAGCAGAACAGCAAGTAGATGCTGCTCATGAATCTTAGCATGATGAAAATAATGTTAGGCAGTGGTGATGTGCACCGTTAATCCCAGCACTCACACTCAGGTGGATCACTGTGAGTTCAAGGCCAGCCTGGTCTACAAAGCAAGTTCCAGGACAGCCAGAGCTGTTGCATAGAGAAAACCTGTCTCAAAATAAATAAAGAAATAGATAGATGATAGATAGATAGATAGATCATACATATATAAGTAATAATAATAATAATAATAATAATAATAATAATAATAATAATAAACACCCGAGAGACAGACAGGAAAGAGGGAATATAGATCTAAATTACAACGTAGGTTCTGCCTCCAGCCTGGAAGCGGAGACAGCACAGGAACGCTCTTTAGAGTTGTGAGCAGTGCATGAAGACCTCAGTTCAATACCCAGAACTGCACTCACACTCCAAAGGGAACCTGTGAAAACAAAGACATGCTGTGGAATGTCACAGCACAGTCTCTCAATCTCAACTCTTAACAACCTGGTAACAGAAGATGGGTGACAGCCGTCTGGGGAGCTCTTCCTCATCCCAATAGTCAACAGCTAGCTGTGTCACTGAACAACTGCAGGTCTTAGGAGTCTGCTGGAAACTAACGCGCTCAGGGAACATCACCTAAATGTAGCTGAGGAAAGAGATGACGTAATACTGGAAACAGTCACCAGGGCTGTGGCAGAGGCAAAGCCAGGACTGGAAAGAATGCTAAGTGCTATGTCAGAGCACACACACGCACACACACACACACAGCTGGGAGGGAAGAGAACAGGGAACTGGGGAAAATGCTAAGTGCTATGTCAGAGCGCGCACACACACACACACACACACACAGCTGGGAAGGAAGAGAAGCAGGGGTTCGGGTCTCTGGAAGACAGCAGTTTAACATGAATTTGCAAAGTCTCCAAGTTGTCAGAATATAAATTCAGCCAAGAGTCAACAGTCTCTGCTTTGAAATCTAGGGGGAAGAGAGAGAGAGAGAGAGAGAGAGGGAGAGAGAGAGAGAGATCTATTCACAGACCAGGTGGGCCTGGAACTCACAGAGATCTGCCTGCCTCTGTCTCCCATGCGCTAGGACTACAGGTGTATGCCACCGTGCCAAGTTTCACCAACAGAGAATTCTAAATTAGCTTAAATAGGTTAAGTGATTTATAGCGAAAGACAGCATGCATCTTTGTAAAAATCAAGCGTTGTTAGAGATCACTGTATTATCAACTGTCTAAGGCCCACTCTACACAAGTGGACAGAATCAGGAGAATTCTGGACCTGTAATGATGACTCTGTGACATCAGCACTGTCTGACAAGTCTGAAACAGTCTTTCCCTACACTCCCCAAGGATTATTTCTGCAACTCTACACTTAAATACAGTACTTATTTCAGCTCTCTTCTCCTGTTCTCCCCCATCAGCTACATGGGCTACATTTAAAGCTGAAGACCTTTCCCAAATCAAGACTCTATCAAAGACATCCATGGCCCAACCATTATGCAGAAACTGCAAGGTAATTTCATAACTCATCATTTCCAACTTCCACAGCTCCCTGAACCAGTCACTAAGACAAGACAACCACTGCCTTTTGGCAAATATCTTCAAAGTTGTATTGACAGACTTCTGAAAAATCAATACCAGTAGATCATACAAATACACATTCCATTGAACCAGGAAGTCTACACACTATGCAAGTTCACCACACTTCAATTCCCAGAGGTCCCCTACTCCGCTTTTGGGTTTTTATAGCCAGTGTTGGGCCCAAGTTGGGGGTCCTCCTGTTTGGGATCAGCCTGCCTTACAGTTATGATCATCGGCCCCCAAGATTTGTTTTAAATCATTCTTTCTCAGACCTTCTAAATGGGAACCAGGGTTTTTGTTTCACACCAATGAAATCACGGAACATTTTTATTCTCAAAGTCCCAAAGTAATGATCTCATGAGAAACGTAGGCTTGATTATTTTACACCATACACCGTTCCTTCCCAGCTCTTAACTGAGTCAAATGTGCTCACAAATCAAGAAGGGATAGTTTTCAAATTTTAGCTCTTTTCAACACCTCTCTTCTCAGCTACTGAAAGTCTTATACTGTGAGTTAACTGTAAGCTAACCCCTTCAAAACAAACTCCTCCAGCAAATGACAGCTCACTGCCCCACACAAGAAGGCTGGAAACCTAGGAAGTCAGTCCTTCCCACCAGTGCACGTATCTGTTCTTGTGCCTCCTCCAAAAGGTCTCACATGCTTCCACACACAACCTGCTGTGGCCGCTGAGTCATCTCTGGACAAACTGACAAGTCACTCTGGAAATTCTGGATCAAGAATATGGAGACAGACTTGCCAGTCACCCGAAAGAAAAGGCTGCTCACCATCCCCTGCACTCTCACAGAAAACTTCTCCCAGGAAATAGAGGGCACAACTCCTACCAGAGCCACACTTGAGGTCTACTTGGGGTGGGCGTGGTGACACATGCCTTTCACCAGCACTGGGGTCAGAGGCAGGCAGAGCTCGGATAGCCCACCTCAAAATAAACACACACACTCACATAAATGTATACAAGTTTTATACTAAGAAAACTTCCATGTATGATAAAGGCCGCTAAAACGCATACTGTTTTCTAGGGTCTGCTCAAATGAGTCACGCTTTTCCCACCTGTAAATAGGAGTAAATAAGTATATTGCCTGCTTACCTTGAAAAACTGATAAAGTTACAGAGACAAAGTCTCCGGTTTCCAAAAGCTTAGTCTAAGAGACAAGGCCAGGTAAACCAAAAATTTACTGTAACACTATGTCAAAAATAAGAACCAGGGGGAGGGACTTCCAACCTTGTCTGAGGCAGGAGAGACTGCCCGGGAACAGCTGCCTACATTCTGAGATCCAAAAGACTGGCCATTTGGGTACGTGGGGGGAAACACGGAGAAAGGTACTTCCAATCAGAGGGAACAATGTGCAAAGGCTTGCAGGAACCCAAATGAAGCTGCCTTGAAGGTATTCAGTACGGCTGGAAGAGAATGCCTCACAGGAACACCCTCATGGAAAAACACAAACGCCTGATTTAATGAAGCGCTTCCTTTAATTCGTTATGAAATACCAGCTCCAATCTGTGGGCGCTATGGCACTGTCTGGAAGGAAGGGTATTGGGGAAGTTATATGCACATTCTAAGCAGGTGTGAAAACACTGGTTGCAGAATAAGACTGGCTTCTTCCACTCCTCAGTTCCGGTTAGACCGGTGAGGTAAAATGACTTTTCTGGCCGCCTTGCCCCTCTCAACACTGGCCTTTCACTACCTACACACATCTGTTTAGTTGGTATGTCCTCCTCCTCCTCCACTGTAACATGAGACAGACTATGTGAAGATGAACTGGGAACTCCTCTAGCCTATTTCAGGGGAACAGCAAAAAAAGAAAAGAAAAACAAGAAAGAGAAAGAAATGAACGAGTTAGGCAGCTATATGAACTCGGGTGGTTGAACTAAGATGCTGAAGCAAGAGATGGAACGGGGTCTGGACAGAGAGGCTTGACAAATGGCTTAAAGAGACAGGGGAGAGGGGGCCAGGATGATTTAGGTTCTCAGACTCGACCACTGTGGCGCTGGCTCCCGCGATTGAGCCGAATCCTGGAGCAGAGATTAGGTGGGTGCAAGAGTTTCGGTGGGTGGCCCGCAACACGCCCTCCACCCGGAGAAGGGGGCAAACCCACTCCCGTCTCCACGGGCAGCGTGTGGTCCCACCTCGCGTCTTCCGGGCCGCCCGGACACCTTCTGGCCCGGACACTGTCTCTGGCCTCCGCCCGCGGCCTAACCTCTGTCTCCCGCCCGGGATCCCGCCCCGCCCCGGAGCTCACGCTTGCGGGCCTCGGACACCTTCTCGGCCGCCCGCTTCTCGGCTTGCAGCAGCTGCTGGATGCCCTGCGACTGACTCGCCATCGCTGAGGGGACCTTCGGCCGAAAGAACGGCCTAAATCAACAGCTTCAACACACTAAGGAAGCCCCTGGGTCAGCTGACCCGCCGCCCACGATCTGCGCCTGCGCAGCGCGCCGAAGCCCCGCCCCGCGCCGACGCCGCGGCTGACCGCCTAGGAGTCCAGTGTCTCCCGGGAGGTGGGGCGGGGCTGAGCAAGGCGGAACCAGAAGAGTGCTAGGCAGTTCACTGAGCCTGTGCATTGAAAGGGGGTGGGGAGGGCAGCTGCTTTTTCCTTCTACTATCTGTTGATGGCTGGTTTTGTTGTTTTTGTTGTTGTTGTTGTTGCTTGCCTGGTACTGTCCCTATGTGGCAGCCCTGCCACGTGGTTATTTCCTTTCTCTTCAGCTAGACTCCTCACCTTTCTGGAACTTCTTCAGAATTTAGA